TGATTCTATGATTCTATGATTCTAAGACATAGCATCAGGTCTCTGTGCATGACTTTTAACCTTGTTCTTCATTCAGTTTAATCTGACTGATAATAAATGCTATAGCATGCTCTGTAAAAAAGCAAGAGATAAGATTCCTTATCAAGTTCTTAGAGCTGGTAGAAAGCTTAACTAAGCTCTTTGAACATGAAAAATGCTATGTAAGTGCTAAATACTACTGTTTAGTCCCTTTGTCTCTTTAGGCTCATTATTTATTATAAAAAATAATATACATTCTGGAATGGTCTCTTTGGTAAATCATCTAATGGGCCACTTGTTGGTTCAACATTGTCAAAGATATTTTTATTTTATCGGGTAAGAAATGCAAGATTTGGCTGACAATATCATTCTTTGAACTGTTGATTTGACAGCTTTGACTAGAAGCGGTATTGCAGGAACTGTAAGCTACGGGATGGTGAGGAATGTAGTACTTCTGTTCTTATTGGGCCACATGTGACATTCCAACTACTCCATGTGATGAGTAGTTTCAGTTAACAAGCGTATAATGACTTTTTTAAGAAGACAAAATAAAATCCTGAAATTACAGACACAAGCACATGAAAACTGTGGGCTTGGTTTTGCTCATTGTTCAAGTTTAAAATCTGCTAGTGAAAGGTAGCAGGTTCAAAATACGTGGAGGTGGTTCTTAACACAATTGTAGTGTTAAGCTGCAGGACTCTTTTGCAAAAGAACTTGTAGGGTCTAAGAATTTATCTAGGTTCAGGGGGAGAGTGGGTGATTGATGGAAGACAGCTTTGTTGAGAGAAACCATTTCTGTTTCTGGAAGCCCTTGAACTGCAAACAGTTGGAGTCCAGGAAAGTAGTAGAGAAGTATCAATGTACACACCAGGTTCTATTAGTCTTCCCTATACATCCATTTTTTGGCCAATTCACCGACAGTAAACTGGCCGTATGGGCCTTTCGTCCAAATCAGCCAGTACCCATCTTCCTGGATTTACATGTAAAAGAATTGTACCTCCAACATTAGTCATAATCCTGAAAGATAAGGTGGATGAAATCCTGTGGATTTCAGTGATAGACAGTGACCATCCAGGCCTCTTTGTCATTCGCATTAACCTACAGAGGCTGTACCTATACTGGAGGGCCAACACCCTTCTCAGGGCACCCTGCAGTCCTGTTCCGTCAGTCACACTGGCCCTGAACACAGAATTTCTCTTTGTCCCCTTTTTGCGAATGTCACCTGTGCGTTGTGCTATGATACTGTATTTGCATTCATTATAAAGAGCTTCATAAAATATATACAGAGCTAAGTACAAGGAGAATTTTCTCCCGTATTAATATTGTTTATGGAATATTCTGTGGTCATTAAATAATAAAACCATAACTCTGAAGTGAAGTATTATTATTCCTGTATTATAGATGGGAAATGGTCAGGAGAAATTTAAAGGGAAATTAAAGGGAAAATCATGTTACAGGAAGACTAGAGAACCCTGATAATTCTTGAATTGTAATTGTGTGGTTATGAGTCTGTACCAAGTGGTCTGCTTGTCCTATATGCTCCATCCCTATAATGTCTGATTGCTTCACTGTCTATGAATGCATATTTCTTCTGATGACACTTCACCAAGGTGGGGGTGTTAGCAGGTTCTATCTCCAATAGGGATCTGGGGCAAAGATAGTGACTTACGCGTGATCACGGGGGAGGAAGAGCAGGGAGATGCTCTAGAGTCTAAAGTTAAAATTGGTGCCCCGTTACTGGACTGTCCTTCCTCAAGCCATTTAACCCTTTGATTTTCATGTAGTGTGAATCTAAGCTGAAAAACCTGCTGTAACTGTCTATTTCTCTTCCCAAGTGTGAGCACAGAGGCATCCTGCCCTTACTGTCACAGAAGTGGCTTTCTCCTCCATTTGTGCAACTTCCTTGATTTCAACGAGTACTGATGTCCAAGCTTAAAAGAGTAAAAACCAATGGTGGATTTTTTTTACTACTCCAGTTAGTGACTTTGAACCCCGAGGCAATTTTGTTTCCTTTTTTCCTAATGTAGCAGAAGTTTGTTTCATCCCTTTTGTGCTTTTATCTGTGTGGGTCTTTTTAAGGCAGACAGCTTTCCCTGTTAAAATTATGTCTCTATGTGAAAATGAAAAAAACTTTGGTCTTGAATTTTGTGTAACCATGTGGGATTCAGTACCTCCTAAGCTCCTATACAGTCTTTCTCATTATCTTTTCCTGGTACTCTGAACAGTCCTTATGTTCTTCTGAATCAGTAGCCCATCAATTTATGATGGGCCATCCCATCATAAGGTCCTTCCCTTTGCTAAGCATTAACAATATGCCGAAATCTTTGTTCTGTGAGACTTTTCAAGGGTGCCTTGTCCTAATTAGATTTTATCTTTTTTTAACAGATAGTTGTCTATTCATTTGATCAACTGGCTTCTTGTTACTGTATGAACGTGTGGTGAGAAAGTGTGGAGGAACTGCAATTCTGTGTGACTCATTTAAATTACGCTCAATTCCTCCTCACAGTGGTTCTTGGGAGAAAAATGAAGATTGTAAAGTGAGTGACAGAGGCAGATCAGTTGTTCTTCTCTACATCTAGGGCCTATTAGCTCGTGTGCGGGGAAGAGTGTATTCCTGCAGGGCCTGTTAAGGCCATTGCTGAAGGAGTGGAGGAACAGCTGGACAAGAGAACAAAGCAGGCGGTGGCACCCCTTGGAGGAAGGAAGGTCCGAGCCCCAGGAAACAGCTGATAGAGCTAAACTCAGCTTGTTTTTTTTCCTCTGTTCAACAGTTCTTGTGCCATGGCAAACAAAAGATAGACGTTCTGATTTGCTTTACTGTTTGGTTTGTGATATCAATTGAGTTTGTTTTGCAGAGATCTGTGGGAAAAGGTAGAGATCTAAATCCCGTTTCTCCTCATTTGCCCATTTCTATGCTGATGAAAGCTCCAGAGAGTTCTGTTTCTTTCTCCCCTGCGTCTGCTAGAAGCTGGGATAACAGTGGTGTTCAAGGGACTGTCCGGTCTCGGGACAGCAATCTGAATAGGATGTATGAGCATACTTACAATGTGAGCCTCGTTCTGCTCGGAGGTGTGGTGTGCCAAGTACCCGTTGACTGTACTGGGAACTGAGTGCACTTAGTGCTTCTCAGGACCACATCTTGTATTATTAAAAGATTATAATTATGTGACCTTTTAAAAATTTATGCAGGATCACATTTCAAAAGAAACATTTGTATACTTTCAGATGAGTCATTTCTACTATGCCCTGTCAAACCACACTCAAAGCAACAATTCCAGTTAACAGAACTTCTTCACTAATGTATCCAAGGATAACATTTGGTCATTACATTTTAGAGGATTATTGAAAAATTGTATTTTGGGTTGTTCTCAAGATAGAGAAATAAAAGGAGAAGTAGATCTGTTAACCCTTTTCAAAAGCAAGTCGATTAAATTTTAATTGACTGAAATTTAATGACTATTTTAATATTTCAAACAGCATATGCAAGTAAGGCATCCTGCTTATCATCACAAAAGACGGTATTAGATGGAGAGCAAGCAAAAAATAGCTAGCGTTGCACTGACTACACTTCAGAAAGTTGTGTGCCTATGATTTCTGCCTTCTGTAAAAAAGCTGGGATAATATAGCATTCTTTGGCTCTTTTGTGATTTTTTTTTTTTTTAATTGTGTCCTATTAGGCGCTTCCAGGTCAGTGAAGAGGTAATTCCATGTGTTTATGTGTCTCTGTAAAATCACTTGAGCAGTCAACACATATGTTCGAATGGTTCCTGGTCTTATCAGGAATCCTACAGGAAAGAAGAATATAAGGTGCTTGCTCTTAGTCTCAGTCAAAACCAGATGCACGTCCTAGTAGTGTAGAGTTGACAACAAAGGAATTCAACGTTCTGAGTGTGGGGTTTTTTTATTTTCCCTGTTTCCATTAATAGAGTGAAATTTATCCATGTAAAATAAGATCTAGTAAGAAAAAGTGTTTTTCAGTTAATACACAACTTCTGAATTTACTTATAAATTGTATTGAGTGAAAACAACTACAAAATCATACAAACCTAATGACTTTTTGTCTGATAGACATACCAGTAACCCATACTTAGAGGTATCCATTCTGAGGCACAGTCAGATAATTCTAACTGAATTAAATATTCAATACCAGCCCATGGAAAATAGACTCCTTCTCAAAAATAATGCATTTATCTTTTTTGTAATATCTTTTAATTCCTTTGCTTTCTGTCCTTTTTTTTCCTTTTTACATTTGAGTATAATTTACAGTATATTTATTTACTCCTTGGCCTGCTGAGGGTAACTTAACTCATTACTCTGATTCACTTTTGCTTTGGGAATCGGTGGATACATTTTCCACCTAATACACTATTTTTTTGCTGCTCAAATCCCACTACAGCTAGTGAGAGTTGTACAGTTTAAAAACTCCCTTCACTAAGCTTCTCTTCTACCTGCTTAAATAAACCTCTCCTGAGTCACTGAGGCTGCCTTTCATGTTGCCACAGGATCTCTTTTCATTGAAAGATGATCTGATTTTTGACATCTTGTTCTCCATAATGATTAGTGCAGGGATGTTAGGTTTTAGCTTCCCTCTAATGCTATCTACTCCTCAGAGATAGAATTAAATCTTCTTTTGAAAGATGTATGTTCTTCCAGTTCCGGGGATTGAATAATTGCCTTTTCTGTGTTCCTTAATATGGCAAATGCTTATGGCTTTATCATCTTTCTTCCCAAATTATCATCTTTTTTCCCCAAATGATTTTGCCAAAGCTCCCCGTATGTAGAAATAGGTGGAAAAGACTAAAATTTAAGCTCTTTTCTTCCTTTCTTCTAATTCTTGTTTTGATAAAGATTGCAGAGATTTATGTATTTCTTCCCCCTGCTTGTTTATGTGTTTCTTCCCCCTTAAACATCACTGCTGACTACTTGTGAAATGTGTTTGTTTCTGCTATAATGTTTAAGTGGGTTTTGAGTCTCAGGGGTTAGGG